CGACCTTTTTTTTTGGGGGGGGGGGGGTAAAAAATATAGATTTAAGAGTTGTTGATATTGCTATTAATTCAAAAAATAACAATTATTATAATCATATAATTATATATCAATTAGAACAATTCAAAACGATTCCGATAACCTTGGAAACAACAAATTAATTAAAAAACAAACAAAAGAAAAACAACAAGCAAATATTTTTAAAAATAATTTTTATGTTATTAAAATTTTGTAAAAAGTAAAAAAAAAAATGTATAATCCAAACCAGAGATATACACAGCAATCTTCACAACCACAACAACAGCAACGTTCATCATATCCTTATCAGCCATTCCAACCTTCCCCCCAACAAACACAAGCCAGTCCTAGTATACTTCAATCAGGTCTACCAAATCATAATACTCAAAATTCTCACTTTAATAATTTTAGCTCGTCACCTGCTGCAAATTATCCAAGATTAAATAATAGTAATGATATACGTTATAGTGGTGCTCATTTAGGTTCTCACCAACCATCTCCTCAACAACATTTGCAACCTGCAAATAATGCTTGGAATAAAAGTTGGGGTACTGATATCAGTGGTGCAAATGCTGCTACTTCTCACAATCAACATGGTATGATATCAACCAGTAGTATATATGGTAATGCTTCGTCTACTTCTAATAACTCAAATCAATCCTTTATTGGTTAGTCCTATTGTTTCAATTTTTTATATCATCTAATTTTTATCATCATCTAAATAACAATCTTAACAATCAATTGAACTTTAATTTCCCATTCATGATCTAAATACTTTAGCTACAACAAATTACTTACAACAACAAAACCCATCACAACGATGGCCAGTAGATGCTACTATTTCTTCGATTGGCATAAATCCACTTGGTCATTTTGTATCAGACGTCGATAATGTACGGTTATTTAATATAATATATTATTAATGCTAATATTATTAATAATCAATCAGATAATTAACGTTTTAATTAATTATCTTTTATATTAATATTTCTCAATTGCCAAAAATTTCAAATTAGAATAATGGAGATTTGAGTACGGATGGAATAATCGATAATCAAGCAGTCGTACAATCATCAAATAGATATTCACAATTAGCCGCTCAACAGCATCATCATCATCAGCCTCCTTCATCGTCAACGTCATCATCACATCAAATAGCTCAACAATCTCCTCATCAAATAGTTTCACGAACTCATCCAATGCCTCCACAACAACAACAGCGTCAACAATCTTCAAGACGATCTAATACCTCTATCAGCAGTATAACTGATAACCTATCTCAACCAAATGCAGCTGCCACCGCTTCTAGCAATTTAAACAGCTCAATAGTCCCAAAACGTACAGCTGACAACATTAACACTAATGCAACAAATAGTCTTTATGGCTCAAGCAGCAGTATAAGCAGTATTGGTAATATTGGTGCCATGGCTACTAATCCCAATGCTCATCGAACAACTATGAGCTACAATCTAAATAATTATGTGATGAGTGGTAGTCAACAACAACAACAACAACAACCACATCATCATCACCAATTACAGCAACAGCAACAACATCAATTACAACAACAA